TCACATTTCGCCATATTAATCAATTAACTGCGTATGACGAATATATATGTCGTGATGCGTCCATCCGTCCTTGCTGGATTGCCTCAACAAATTTTATCATTATGCATGTGTTTTTGTCATAATAATGTATTTTAGAAAATATTTTTGTCACTTTGTCAAGTCGTTTCATCACAACCTATGTCCGTATTACATAAACGCTGTGTTTGACGAGGATACGAGCAGTATATCACTAAAGAGCTCGAAACAGGTAATTATTTAAGAGTAAATGAGCTGAAGCTCGGAACAAGCGGATTCTGGTTAAAATTGCAAGGATTCATTTCTTATTTACGCAATGTGAATACACTCTTCGTTAGTGGCAAGCGATTTTTGTCCGTCAGCGCTTTTCAAACGTCTCACCCAAAATGCCAATTTAGTGTTAGTTCAGTGTAATCACAAGAACGTCTCTTTCAAATACCGAATACAAATATATATTATTTAGTACTAATCCACATACATGTATTTCTTCAAACAACTATAAACTCATTTCAAACTAAATACACAATTATCAAACTTAACGTTAGCTTAGAATGCAATTCTGCTTAGTTTAAGTGAAATTAATGCTAATTAAAATGGAAATAATAGCAAAGGCAAGTACATGATGAGCTTGATATGTGAACTTATATTAAGAACCCATATGCCAAATTTTTGTCTTCGGGTACAATTTTTACGCTCGTAGGAATTTAAACAACATATGAACCAAGGACCGATAATCGGACGAATGTCATCAAATCAACTCAAAATCTCATGATTGCCAAGAGTACGGATACATGCATACGTTCATAGGCGTTTAAAGGCATATGCATGTATGTACACATATATTTACGTTGAAGTAAATTGCACCACTTGTCAATTCAAGCTAACCTAAGAATGATACCGCGACTCTTAAACAACTTACAACAAGTAAATGTCGCTGCAATCCTTATTACGTTTTTAGATATACAAATTTTCCGTGAAAACAACAATAATAAATTACAAATTCAACTCATACAAGAGGTCTACATATTTGCTATTTTAAAGTAATTGAAAGGAATCATAATAAACTCTATTATATTAAAAATTAATTCTTAATGGGTTTTTAAGGACAGGTACAACTTCTTATAAACAGCAATGGTAACGGTGATGAGTACTTAAGATTCGGCTTGATCTGAATGCAGTTTTTCTTGTTCAAGACAAGTCTTGTGGCTTCAAAAATCAATTAAATATGTACTTTTTGTGCCGTTAAAACACTATTAAGGCTTCTATTCTATCCATCACAACATGTTTGACCGTCTACTTAAAAAAACAATTCATAAGCAACGAGGTGCATTCAGAATGCTATGCGTACATATGCCTGCAGCTAGGCAAAAGAACCCGGCCTAAAAAGAATATAAAAAATAATATAAGCAAAAATACGTCCGTTCAAAAAAAGAAAAAGATTTGATAAAGCCAAACATAAAAATCAAATTTTCAATAAAATCCTTTTTATTGGATAGAACAATGTCATAGTGTGTAAAATTTTGCTAGGAATCTGAATCAATAAGTAAATGGAACAATAAATTCTAAAATGATCTGGAGACTGGTTTTATTCAATTATGCTGCTGCACATATCTTTACGCAATCGTACAAATTCAAAAAGGGTTCTTTTTATGCAATTACTTTCTGGAAGATAAGAAAGAAGGTGGAGAAAGAAAGAAACGAAAGATAGTAGTACTCCTTAGGTAATTACACCCACTAAAACCAAAAGTATCATCGAACCCTTTCACTACGCTACTGACATTTTCCCGCATTTTTTTTTTTTTTTTTTTTTTTTTTTTTTTTGATAATTGGTAGACAAACTCTCGTGCCGCCTTCGCCCACAATGAAAAATCATTTTGCTAATTCTTAGCCCTTAACGACGAAAGTTATGAGAACAAAATTTGGGACCAACTTTGCTTAACTCTTGTTCATTTACGCTGACACCCGAATATAACTATCGTGGGAGTTCTCTGATATATGAATTAATATATCGTCTACGCTTACAATATATTCAGCAATCGCCAGTCTGCTTATATTAATCAGAATACGTGCTGATATGCATAGCGAACATTTGACGAACACCAATTACTCCTCGTAAAAGAAAGGTAAAGAATAAGTGGAAAAAGTGACGAAGCTGACCACAAATGGATAAGTTGAACGTTTTTTATACGAAAACGAGTTTTGTTTTACAAATTGAAGAATAAGCATAAAGCAAACTGTGGAGAAATTATATACAGCACTCATCTGGTTCTATTAACGTTTTATTTAAGTACGGATGCTAATGCAAATTTCGGTAACCATTCAGTTTTATAATAATTATTAGAATTAATTTATTAATGGACAAAAGCGTATGTTTTTTTAATTTCTGTGAGGTGTTATGCATGTGGACTAATTTTCAGTACAAATTTAAGGTAATTTTTAACACCAACCAAACCAATTTGTGCTTAAAAAAATAATAAAGCATTTTTAAAAATATTTAAATATTCATTATGTGAATACTGCCGTTGCCGAAAATGAAAACATAAATATCTACCAAAGACCTTGCGAACCTTTGCAATCCAATTCACAATAAGGCCACAATATCTAAAAGTGGCCAAGGATTTCTTATATACATACAATACATATAACGTCGTCTAATACTGAAGTAGTAAAGTACTTTTCTTGGTTCGGAGAAAATTTCTAAAATTCGAAGGTTGCCCGAGTACTTAAACAAAGTGATGGTTTGTTAAGTGGAAGTTGGGATATGCCAATATGTTTCGTTAAGATGTGTCGTTTGCAGAAAAATAGGTGGTAGTTACAATTCCTTTCTTCTTTGAAACAAGACGATATGTCGTCAAAACGATTTTGATTAAGATTTGTTGTTAAATTCTAGTAACGGATATTTGCATAATCGATGTTAGTCATCTCCCCTTTATGAATTGTCGCGAAATACCCCCCATCGAGCCCGAATGGTATATGCTCTTCTTCGGGCTCTTCCTCAGTTTCGTCCCTCATTTCATTGATGAGGCGGTAATGGTCGGTTGTAATTATTCCTTTTTTATATTTGAAAACTTGGAAGTTCCTTAGGCGGTTGCGCAATTGAACGATTTCGGCGGGCGATCTGGTCCTCTTTCTTTTTGATGGAGACATATTTATGAAGAATGCCCCGAGAAGGTCTTGGCTTACCCTGTGTGAAGCGAAATTTGTGGTATGCTAAGCCTTCGTTAAATCTTCCATCAATATGGCAAAACTTACAGTTATTGTTTCTGTAGCAACGGCAGGGGCGTCCTTATTAAATACTTTCAAGAAGTAGTCACTGATTTTAGCAAGTTTGCGTTTGAGCTCCTCCACATTTTGATCCATTATGGAGCTCCGATGAAATATATTGACGAAATTTGACAGCGCCGTGAAGATTTCGCATGTCCGCCTTGCAATTTCGGACTCCTTTCGGAATATATTTTCCTTGATGACCACTTGTAGCATGGCCGGTGTCGCGTCATTGAAGATGTGCACTCTTCCGGTCCAGAATTGACTAGTGGGCTCGGATTGCTTGTGCAACCTTCTAATTATTGTAATGGCGTATTTTTCTTTCGTTTTTTCTATTTTATCTTTATATCTTCTGAGGAGGTACAAATAATCGTACATTAATAGGACTCCAGCAGGTAATATCGCTTCTTTATATGCGACATTCCTGTCGCAAACTACTGCAATATCTTTAGCCAGGTTGATGTTGTCTAGTAGTGCTTTTGCGACTAAATTTGAACGCGTTGAGGGCTGGATGTATATGATCATATTAAACGCCGTCGCCAAGCTACTTACAGCGAAGACGAGTATCATTTTGTAATCACACGTGTTCTTCTTGTGCTAATGGCACCTAATTAGTGTATCGATCGTCCGCGAACACACTACTTGATTTTTGGTGAAGACTTCGTCGAAATGCAATTAGATAATTTTGTCGTGAGGAGTCAATTTCCTCACGACCTCTACGGAGGGCCTCCATGCCCGGCACCACGCTGTCAGCTTCTAGTTCGACCTTCTGGTCTTCATATTTTGCTAGGTGCCGTTCCTACTCCTCTTTTCCTCTTGAACCCTCTCCAACTGCTGGATAAGCCTAGCGTAAGCTGGTGTAAATTTCATCCATTCAAACATCTGGGCTTTGTATATCCTTATTACATCTAACCTACCACTACGCATGGCGCTGTCATTTATATTGTCTCCTGAGCGTCCATCGCTTCTTCCACCATACTAGCTTGTCTCCTACTTGTATCACTTGGTTTTTTCCTAAGTCGAATCTCAAAGAAGCTACCTTGTTATTGTACTTACCGCCCGCGACAACCCCAAATTATTTCCTATATGCTATTCCATAAGTCCGGATATTCTTTTCTATATCTTGCTAAACACACGTTCTGGAATTTTCACCATGGTTTTATACTTATTTTATGTTTATGTATAATATAATAAGATAAACAAATACGATAATATAAAATACCTATAAAATAATAATAATTCAAGAACCTGAAAATAAATAGGAAACAAAATAGACCAAAAAATTTTATAGTTTTTACATCTTTTAAAATAATAATAATATAAACTAAATGATGTAAGCTCCGCCTTTTATTATTATTATTTTTTTTTTTTTTTGTTTGTTTCTATTTATTTGTGTTTGTTTATTTTTTAATTTATTTCTCTTTTTTATTTATTTATTTTTTATTATTATTATCATTATAATAATAATAATAATTTATTTTTTAAAAGGAACAGTTCAGAGCTATCATCAACCACTCAAGGTTCCCTTTAAATCCAACATATAAAAGTACAAATTTTTATAGAAAATACAATTCGTTTGTGATCAAGCATAGAGATGTTCTGCGGAGTTTATAAAGCATCCCTAACGTGCTCTAGGATGATGGTAACCATGGTTGAGGAAATATAAATTTGTTGTAAATTTGGCAATATTGCTGTGTTATCCTATCGTGTCTTTACTAGCATTCTTCGAAGAAGTGCGACGTACTTGCATGATTTAATCTACACAAATTCTACGAATCAACAAATCAATAGAATCGTTTTATGATAAATATCGTTGCAGGATGTGTGCAATATATATTAGATAGGAAAACAGAAATAAAATTGCAGTAAAATGGCGGCTTTCAATGTATACGAACTCTATTAAACTATTTCATTTTTCGTTGCCACAAGTAAAGAAATAAAGCATTTTACTTATTTTTAAATGGTCCAAAGTTCTGGTTGATGACGTATCTTATGCAGCGGATGAGACTACCAGCAATGCTGAGTAAGTTTTTCTAAACATCTCAGCTTATGCACACTTTACATCCATCCATCAGCTAATTTTTAAACAGTAGGTCTTACCTTAACCATAGAGAGCGCTATCAGCGCCAAATAACTACCGCTCTAGTAGAAAATGAGGATGAATTGGAACGTTATATGCATACGACCGAAAAGTATAGCATACATCAAATTCCAGAATACTCTGTTCTAACGTAATATCTATACTAGCAGATGAGTTTTCAGACTGATGTATATGGTTAGTATTAGTAAATTTACATAAATTGCTGACTGTTTACAGCGTAAGTTACTTTCAGATAAATTCAACTGAAATAAAAAATGAAAAATGCAGCAATATGATCAGACAGTACGCAAAGTATTCGAATTGTATCTAGATTACAAAGATCAACTAGCGCTAGTATCAGAGCATTATCCCAAATGTGCACTGGAAAGGGAATGGATGCTTACCAAGTTAGTCCAATGGTCGCAGGAATGCATCTGTTGGCTGCCAAAATATTTTGAATGATAGTAAGTAATCTTCCTAAAGGGATTTCGGAACGTTCGGTTAATCGGCCTAAAGAGTTGAACATGCAAATTGACGACACGGCACAGGTTCTGGAGACAGACTTGATATGGTAACCTTTACCTTTGTTTTTTGCTAAAACATTCCCGAAGAGACGTCGAATCTATCGATTTTCATCGTGAACACTAAGAACTTGACTGCGGTGACTGTGCAGAGCGAGAACATGACGTGGTATGTAACGAACTCGAAGAATCTTTTTAAATTACTGAAACGTGATATTTTGGATGTACAAAATAAATTAGTAAAAATTATTGAAAGGTCCAAGAACGTTGTTCACCGCTCTCCAGTTGTACCGCATAAAATTAAATTTACATAATTTATTGAGAAATTTTTCAATTCATTTTAATAAAATTAATTGTGGACATAAACAACTATAATACATTTAATTTTTTTATTTTATTGTTTGGATGGTCCGTTTGTTGTTTCGTGACATAAAATAAAATGCATAGATTTCGTGTAGGGAATTGCTTCACAATCCATAGAAATAATAACTAGGAAACTTTTTGTCGACCACCGCGGCTTATTAGTGATAAATAATGTGCAGACGTTTCAAATACATCAAAAAAAAACATTATAATGCGTAGAGATTTCGACGTGAACAAGAAAAAATGCGACGGCTGCAATGACCGAAGTGCGTGAATTAAATTTCCGCCTTAATCGCAAAGTTAATCCTAAAAAAAAAAAAAATTCCTCAGATGACTTTGAGAAAAAAAATTATAAATGTACATTATACATTGCTAACCGCCAACACATTAGTCTTTTTTCATCTAATCACAAGCAGAAGAGTGATCATAAGTTAGGCTTTCCAAGCAGCGCAGAAAAAGAATAACGTATATTAAGTATACAGATGCATTCATATTGGCGGCATTACAACTACAAATATTTGTGCCGTCTTTTTTTTGGTAGTCCTTACGTATATACATATATATATCCCATTATTCTCGCTCACATAGTTGTTTTTCAGCATCTATATGAACACAGAGCAGCATTATTGGCCATAAGATGAATCGTTTCAATTCATGTTGTTCTGATACTGAATAGCAACTTCGTCGATCGTACTTAGCGCTTATTTGTATATATTGTTGAGAATTGTTTATGAAATGAATTAGCGTTTTTATGTGTAAAAATTATTGGATTTGTCTTTAAAGATTAAAAAGATGTTCGTGAATTAATAATTTTAATTATGTGTACGTATGCGAGTTGAATTCTAATAATCACATATGCTATGGAAACTTTTAAGAGACGAAGTGATCGTTTAATAAATAATAACTCAACGCGGGAAGCTACGGCAAAGAAGGAGAATAACGAGAAGAAAAATTTCCCGTGTGTCAAATATGTCAAATATGGCGGAAAAATCGTTTACTTGACGGATATGTCAGAAATAGCTGAGGCCGCTGATAGCTTGATGTAAGCCCACGAACTTAATAATTTGGACAAAATCTAACTTTCATACTTTCTACTAAAATGATCGGGCGGTCCTTTGCTGAAAAAATTGTTATTTTAAAATGCGTAAACGTATGAGTGATCCTTTTAAAGATATGCGTCCATTACAAAGTATGCGCATATCTCGGAAACAGAAATATCTTCATGCTTAACAAGAAAGTAATTTTTGAATTTTAACAGCTCATTGTTATTCAACGTATATTTTTTATCTTGGCTGCCTTCTTCATGACTCCCTAGCCATTCTATTCGTGAACAGCCATCCTGAATTCACGCTTACCCTTTATAAATGGTAAATCAAAGAGAGCAAATAGTGATCACAGATACAACTTCCTTATGATTATTCCTATTTATTTTCCAAATTTCAAAAAAAAATACAATTCGAATAATTCAACAATTGAGTGTGTTGTAAGCAAAAACATTTAGACAAAAGATATAGCACAAACTAATTGAATTTACAAAATTTTCTAAAGGTGTTTCCGATTGTTCCCTGCATTTCCTACGTCGGTGTGGACATGAAATTTTCAATAAAACTATGGTAGCAATCGTCCGCTTCATATTTTAGTTTTTCTTAAAAAAAAGAAAGAAAACGTAAGGCAAGAAACCATATGTTATTTTGCAAAACTTTCGATTTCAGACAATGGGTGGAAAGACAGCAGCATGTTCCGATTCCCCTCTCTTTTGATATGGAATGGCCATTTTCATTTCAAACAGGTCCGGGTAAGACTTCTGTTGTGCAGGTGTGCCTGGAATTAAATTGTTGTTATGTTTTCCAACTATCCAATTTGAGGAAATTACCAGCAGCGCTAGTCGCTTTGCTGAAACATCCACGCGTTCGCATGCACGGAGTAAACATTAAAAAGTAAGTTTAAATATTATTAGACTTCTTCGTCTTTAACATTAAGAAATATTATTCGCAATTCCTAAAAAGTTATACTTAATGCGAATTTTGCAAATTATAGCTTTGTCTGAGCATGTTCACGTTAAAAGCTACATTGCTAGTTATAAAGCGAAAATTTGTCCAACGACTATTGCAAGATGTCATTAGAAGAAATAGATAAGGGTATGCAATATGGTCTGTTCGTCGCAGTTGTTATTGAAAAGTCGCCCAAGTATATGAGCACTACAAGGTATGATTATGAAAAAATTTTGAAAATACATAATTAACCGACGATGGGGGGTCTGCAATTTCCAAAAACGATTCTTACATATATTTTATGTAAATGTCTGGTGGTGGACACAAAAGCACCACTTGCATCATTTTTTTGAAATATGCAAATTATTCAATTGGTTATTTTCAGCGATGTCCAGAAGCTGGCTAGGGATTTCCCTGAAATGAAATTAGACGACTTAAAGCACCGCTGCATTGATTTGGGAACTTGGTGCAACGAAATTAATGAAACCGGATGCCGATGGAGTTTAGATCGTCTATGCAATTATTTGGTAATTTTTGTCAGATTAGTTGTTGCGGCAGAAAAGTTTGAATATCAATATGCCCATCATTCACTTCCAGTAGTCTTCCTTAGCAAATCAAGCGTTGCAAAGTAATATATTTAATTTAATTAAACAAAGCAACATATCCGTAAGCATCTTTCCTGAAATTCGCTTGATTTGTGAGCAATATAAGTGGAAGTGATAGAAAGTAGCGAACATAAGCTCTTGGTGTATTTAAATTGGTTTAGCAAAAAACATATAATTTCAGATAAACCAAACCGTAGACAAAAACAAAAAAGTTAGAATGAGCAATTGGCATGTCGTACCTTTGAATAAAGATCAGTTAATGTATGCAGCTATAGATGTTTATGTAAGTATGCAACATATTACGTAATATTACAAGGACAATCTCCTTTTTCATACCCACGGCAACAATTGTCCAGTTATGTTCGTTATTAGTTAAAGATACTTTGGCCGTAGGCAAGAATTTTGGTCAATGTACCTTTGTTAACTTCCCAAAGATGTGAAAATTTTCATTATTATAGGAGATTTGAAAATTTCAAATCGAGAAAACCCCTAACGATCAAACGGGAAAAAACAAAGTTTTTAGTTTTACATTCTATCATTCTATCAAAGGGACTGAAAAAGGTTACAAAATTGTTTAATAAGAATTAACTGCAGTAGCATCTTACAATTATCAAAAGTTGAATAAAGCTTTCCATATCTTCTGACAGATTGGACTAGTGATTTACCGGGAATTGGAAAATCGAGCGCGAATAAAAAAAGAAAGGCTGTGAGTGATTGTTGGAAGATGGTTGAATGATGGCGTTGGAATTATTTATTTATCATGATCTAAGAATTAAAAGGAAAGTCTTTTAAAAATAAGTGTTTTATTTGCTTGCGATTTTATCCGTTTTTTCACATTCAGCGAATAGAAAGATTACGATAAAAACCCGAGGAAAATTGTGTTAAAATAAAAGATCTTATTTATTTGCTAAATAAATGGAGCGGAAATATAACAACGAAATATCTACAAAATTAAAAATAGAAAAAAAAACATGCCTTCGATTCGGTCGGTTCTAAAATAGATGAAAGATGAACATGATATCATGGCCGCATCGGGCCGCGTCGTAAGGATATGGCTTCGATTTTGCGTTTTAACACCTGATTGTCAAGGTCGATTTGCCGTTGTTGCTTTTTGCGATTAACGGCCGCACTGGATACACGGGTATTGGGATATGGCGAAGAAGTGGTCTGCAAAAGCATTCGTAAATTTTAAAATGTGGTAAATGTGATGTATGTAAAAACAAAATATCTTCAATATTTTTTTTTATTTTAATTTGGAAATGATATTATGTCATAATAAGCTGAGCGACTTGAAACTTTTTCAAGTATATTTTGTATAGTTGTCATAAAATGAGGATATTTACTTTGAAACAGTGGTCGGAAAACTTCCGTTTATATATACTTCAAAGCAATTACTTATGTCTATATTAGGACGGACAGATTAGTAGGTCATTCTCAAAACAGACGCGACGCAATTTTCCAAATTAAATTATCCAATTTCCTATTATTAATAATTGTTAGCCTTTAAATAACAGTTAATTACCAGTTTGTGTTGAAGCTTTTGTTGAGAATTCATTGTGTACGTTGGTTTCTGGGATAATATCTTACGCAATAATATTCGATTATGACGCTCGATTTCACGCATACGTTCGTTTGAGAAGCTCCAACTTTTGCGATTTTGAGAAGTAGCCCTGTAAGCAGGAAAAATGTCGATAATTAATATTAGTCTTTTTAGAAGACGCTTCTCGACGCCGTCAGGAGTTTTATTCTCATTTTGCAGGAAAATATACGAAAGGATAGAAAGGATATACAATTTTTTATAAAATATTAGAAAATTATAAAAAATAACCTTCAACATATGGTTTTTTTTTTTTAATATGAAGGGTTGACCTATAATGAATAAAAAACCATATCTTAACCATGTTTGCATATGAAACAAATAAATGTCTGCATATGACACGTTCAAGTAAACGATGAAGGTGCAATTTGAATTTTATAAGAGAGTTGGTTTTGAAATTGTTAAAACTTAAAAACATTACTATAAACGCATGGAATCCACGGATATAACTTGTAAACTGATAGCTAGACTGTGTTGAAATTTTGCAACATTTCCTTCCAAGATATTGTACAGAGTCGCCAATAGTTGTCCAATTTATGTGTACAACGATCTTAAGCAGTGATTCATTAACTTATTATTTATTTTACTAAGGCAGTTTTGCTTTAAAACTCGACATTATTTAAATTTTTAATAACTGTCCCCTTAATTGAGCAGATTGAAAAACAACGTTGTACTAATGCTTGCTTAACGCTACTGCTATCGCCGTTAATTTGAGCATGTTTGAGAGATAATTTTTAAGAACAAGACTTACTTAACCTTTTCTGCCGATGACGTTTGAAGTTCTTTGTAAAAGCCCCGTTTAAATAAAGATTCATCAGACTTGTAGGCACATATCGGGTGGCAGAAGCTCATTTGCGTTTCGCTCATATCATCATCCATATCTTCCATATCAATGCACTCGATTTTACTATTAGCTCTGACCACCTCTTGCATTTGGTCTTCTCCAGGGTCTTCAGTCTTCATTTGCTCGAGACATCGAGGAGTTTGATTATCATTAACGGAATCGCATCCTTGCTCACTATTTACATCTTGTTCGCTGTTCGATTTAATGTTATTTACATTGCTTTGACGAATCGTTTCCTCATTCGAATTTTCTAAGATCGTAGTTTTTACAGCATCCATTAGAGCCATTGCAATCTCTTGAGAATTCGGTATGTTCATTTGCTCGAAGTCAATATTTAGCTCAGCAGGGTGCAATGTATCATTAGCAGGCAAAATGTACTCTTCACTGGCCTTCATTTTATACAACGATTCTTGTAGCATTCGAATAATATTAGTCGGTGGGAAGCTTTGATCTGCTTTAATCAAGTTATTGCTGCCTGCATAATTATTGCAACCAGGACTCGTTTGTCGTTCTGACTTTGGCAGTTCCTCTTCATCCCTTAATTCTTCTTGCTCGAAATATTCCTCACGACTACCCTTGTCATCTTCCATTTCGCTTTCTTCGAAAGTTTCACTGACCTCATCTTCTTCGGAGCAGAGATCATTTTGTTCAATGGCCTCACCGTTTGCAACCACAGAGTTTTGTTTCATGAACTTCTTGTATCGGCTTTCCATGACTTCGATTTGTTTGTAATCTTCATCATCGTCCTCAGTACAATACTCAGTGGTATTACGTTGTTCAATATTGTAACCATTGCGACAGCTACCCTTTTTTGACGCTTGTGGCAAATCTTCATCGAAACACATTGGTTCGGTTGCAATTTCCTCCTGTGTTTCATTTGCGGTTGCATCAATCTCCTCCTCAGAAGAAGAATTGTTACGCATTCTGCGATTACTGTAGCCGTACTTTCGCGTAGAACTTATACGTTTCGATAAGCGATGAATGTAACTGCCGTTTACCTTAAAAGACGAGGAGAATCATCAATTAATCTTCTAATATAACATCGCGGTAGTGAAAGTTTTATTTAGATCGATTGGACCGACTTCTGTGCTTTGGTTGCCACTGCACTGTTACTCAAATGTGTAAACCTGAGATAGGTTTCTTAACAATTATTAAGATCTTTTTCTCGTTCGATGTTGGAGTTTTCATGTTCTTTGTCGCTATCGAAAAAATGAAGCTCGCAATAAAAAGTACATGCTTTCATGACCTTGCACTACATTTTTGAAAGGGATTTTTACTTACTAAACTACTTTTTTATTTGGAAAATTAAATCAAAAAGGAAAAATTCCAAATTGCTGATGATTGGCTCTGGCTGAATTTCCATATTAATGCACTAACGTTTTTCGATCTACAGTCCTAAACATTTTACGCGAAGCAAAGATAATAAAGTCTGAAGGAAATGATACATTGACTATCCTTTCTGCCTACATACATACATACCGCGTTTGCTTTAACTGAAGGCAAAGCGTCATCTTCGTTGCCACTATTTTCGGTTTCGCTTTCCAGATCAGTCATTTCCGGAATTTCTTCATCGGTGTCATTTTCGAAAGATGCATTTGCATAACGTTCATCATCTGAATCAATTGCGTCACTCATTCCGAAGTCCGTTTCTTGTTTCTTCACTTAAATTGAGATTTTGATGCTGATGAAGCGAAATGTATACGTGTTTTGTAAATGAGAAAAAACAAAATATGACCCGATAAATTAAGAAACTACCTAAGGATTCACTTGAAAAAATATATCAAAATCTCAAGGCCTACGGTTTTTTTTTATTTTATATAAACACTTTTCAATGCATTTCGTTTATTGCCAGTGGAAATTGTGAAGAAAAATCAATAACGCCGATGTTATATATATACTTTTGTTTTGTGTTTATGCTAGACCACCCCTGAAGTTACAAATCGCAGCAAAGAAAAACATCAACAACAAAAGGGATAAAACCAAAGAACAAATATGTAAGAATAGAAAATTGTGGTTAACCAGGACCGACTTTACCGCTTGTCTGCCCATATTCATTTGTAATAGAAAATAGCAATGAACATAAGAATGCATATGCATTTATTCAAATTATCTAACACGCAAATACATATGTAACATACATAACACTAACACTGCTACATAACATAAAGAAATCATAGCATACGGGCGGGCTTCCATTTAACAGTTCATGCCTAAAAGCTATCTACATCTATCAGAATTAATTGTTGTCTTACTCTTTTTTGAAGCTGTTCATCGCCCAAAGTGTAAGTAGTAACACCATATGTTTACAAGGAAAACAGAGATGTTAAACTCTCCAACAGAAGACGTTCCACAAAAACCGACTTACTTCCACAGAAACTTGAACAGTTTATTCCGCTACTGCTTTGCCTATATTAATTCCCCAGAACTCCGCATTAATTCCAATATCTTGAAGATGTATTCTTACGGATGACCTGTTTTTGTAGAATTACTTATTATTCATGTAGAATTAATTGCCAATTATGTGGAATTAATTGCCATTTATGTGAGATTGAAAATGAAAACGTAGTACCGTTTAAGCCTAAAATTTTATGAGTGTAAGT